GTCTAAAAAATCATGTGTCAATTCACGAGTTTGCTCACAGAGCACTTTGATTTGAGTACATTGACAAGCGGTGGATCAAATGTCAGGCTTGACGACCCCTTGAGCCATTTTAAGCTCATCTGCTCAATCATGCATATCATATGATCGATATGAAGTCTCATGCTATGCATTATTCCTAATAAGTCATCTCTTCATCCAAATTTCTAAACCATAGAGATTAACTTGCTGTTGGCTGTATGCATTTTCGAATCTTTTTGCTTAGTTTCTGAAGAGGGAACGACTAAGCTTGAAGACCCAAGAACATATAGAGCAGAGCAGCATTTGTTTATCTTAACGATGAAAGCGTTTAGACTTTCGATTCTGTACGTAGTGAATCAGTGCCTAACAGGTAAGTTTAACTTGTGTTTGTCGTTGCTGTGTCGAGAATTCGAATGTTATTGAAAATATTATCTAACCTAAGTTATACTTTGAGATAACCGAGCATTTTGGCAAACATTACTATAGGGAAACTGAAAAATAAAAAACCCATAGTTTTCGATATTCTAAAGTTGATTGCGGAGCGGAAGACTCAATATTCTTAAAAACCTGATTAGGCTGCATTTTACAATCCCCCCTCGTAGACACAAAAGATGTTACTAATTGCAGGCAGATGATGGAAAACTGCGGTTAAGGTTGAAAATGCTAATTTGGTCTGTATACATGTGTAAGTTATTTTGAGGCGGAACTAGTGGGAGTGAAAGAAACAACACGGCGCCTTTCTCGCTTTGAATACGACGCCGGTTTACTAGCAAACCAGATAAATGCGTCTTTTGCCAATCTTTCTTCAAAGAGACGATATATGCGTCTAGATGAATAGCTTAAGGTTAAATAACCCAGACACATCAAAAGCAGAGCAGCATTTATTTATCTTGAAGATGAAAGCATTTCCATTTTCACGAGGAAAGTGGAAAACCGCAGAACTCGAAGCAGTTGACTACGAAACACTCAGTATCTTTAGGAAGCTCGTTATAATTAATTTTACAATGCTTCCTCTTGGAGGATGATACAAACTGAAGGCAAATGTCGGGAAACTGTAGTAAAAGCAGAATGCGGTAATTTGGTCAAATATATGTAAGTTGCTGTGAGGCAGAAGTAGCGAAAGCGAAAGTAACAGCAAGGCACCTTTGCAATGTGTCAGCAATGCGACCGCGGTTCCCCAGATAAGCCCAGGCGGGCTGCGCACTCCGATAGCATTGCATTCTAGTAGCTTAGTTTTCAATACGGCGGTGAAAGCGGCAGAAATCGGCAGATTTTGACTGAACATTCCGTAAAAGTTAGGCCGTTCCTTTTTCCTTTCACCGTAGGTAAATGTAATTTGATTTATTCTGAACGTTTAAAACTATTTTTGGTCGTATTTGTCGCGTATTCTACGGTTCTCAAGGACAAACCCAATCATCATTATTGTTACGGAAGAATAAAAGGAGTCGCGCAGGCCTGTAAACACTTTTAACTTTCAAGGAACGGAAACAGACAGTGAATCCATATTATATTTCATGTTTATTCACGCTTTCTCGCTGCCACCGGAGCTGTTCACTCGACCGCGACAGGATGCAAATGACTCACTTTTTTGTGTTATGACCATGATGCAAGCAATTAGAGTGCGCACACAGATAAACCATAGTGATAGGCAAAGTTGATATGGAGACACGAAAACAGGTGAGTAATTGATGAGGATCAAAGAAAGTGGAAAGCGACTGTCGCCATGCGCGGTCCCAGACACACCGTCTGATATTGTTTGTTATTTTCAGTCGAAAGTTTCTATCGTAGTACACCGTAAAACAGCGATAGAAACGTTCTCGAATTACTTTATAAAGCATCAAATAAAATCATGGCCTTAGAACACGTTCAAGGTTTTTACTTAAGTGTGCGTGAGAAACGAAAGCTTTTTAGTAAACAACATGTCTACCCGGATCTAATGCATCACCGCAGGCGATTAGGAAATGTCGGTTATGTAGTGTTTTCGGCAGCTTTCAATCACAGTGTTTGGAATGCCCCCGTGGTCAAAAAAAGAAAGGAGTCTATAGTTTAATTTTATATGAATGTTGACTAGTCATCGTTGCGTTCATACCAGAAGTTTCAGAGTATAAACACCATATCTGGCGACAAGGATCAAGCATGAAACCCACGGAGCGTGCTCCTAAAGGATCTGAAGGGATTTCCGAAGCGATTTCCAACTGAGACATTTCCGAAGTATTTTTCTCGTGCAATCAAAACATTATGGCGATTTCTTTACCAAACTTCCCACCGCTTGAAGTTCACTTCGATGGTAATGCTGACCCGAGATGGAAAAGATGGCTAGAACGATTCGAGAGAGCAACCATTGGAATGGGGATTGGGGAAGGCAAGCAGGTCGACGACGGTGATGACAAAGATTATAAACATAGGCATGCTATGCATGCAAGAGTTTATTTTTCCGTGGGTGGATTAATTGAAACATTGTAAGTGATGTCTACATTTTACAAAAGGGAAGAGTATTAACGCAGAAAAGATCGAAAATGTCGAATTAACTCACACTCAGGTATTTTGTGGCAGATTGTGTGTGATGTGCTAATAACTGTAACAAAAAAAAAACCGTATTGGTGCTACGGATACCTGTTAGTACAAAATGCGGACTGCAGACTGCAGAACGCAGAGTGCAGACCGGATACAAAATGTAGACCTGGTACGAAATGTAGACTACAGATTGCAGAGTGGGTACAAAATGCAGACTGAGAATTTGAAGTGTTTTTTTCGTCTGGCATGTGATAACATTTCATCTTACAACTTAACGAGCGTCACGCAGAAGCTTTTCCGCAATCACCTTTCACGATTATTTGTACTATTGAGGAATATTCCTGGCCGGTTTCTTGATCAAAGTCGCTCTTAATATAATTTCAAGCCTTCATATTGTCTTCTCAGATTTCGTGCGAGTTGGTTGGTGTGGTGTCTGTACAGATTTTACCAACATGATAAAAAATAGATCAGTGTAGATGTAAATGAGATATCACTAGTAAATATTGAACACGCGCAATATTCGAGAAACAATTGACAGCTTTGCACGTGGTTCATCATCTTTTTAAGCGGTATGTGTGTATTTTGTTAATTAAAATGCGTACCGAGACTAAAACTGTTCCTTCGACTTGATTTTTATATATTTTCAAAAGAACGAATCATCTTGAACTGCCAATCAAATTCCCTTCGGCGCAAACCTCTGCGAGAAAACCTCGACTTATCTGGTCTCATGAAATGCATGAGAGCCGCCACCGTTGGGTGCGAGAACTGGAAACAAGAGCTCTACAAGTTTCTACGACTGTATCGGAAGACACCCCACCCGACTACTCAAACTTTGGGTTGGGATTTTGCAAACGATGGCAAGATTTTTTTATCCTTTTATGGGCATTGTCATTGTTGACAGCTTTGAGGCTCTTTTGTTATAAGAGCAAAGGTTTGAAAGAACCGACGCGTATCCGATTTCCGAGCGCGAGATTCAAAAACTTCGTTAATGACCTGAATGTGAATCTTTCTTTCTCGGGCTGGGCTTAGGGAGAAGTTGTCTAGAGCAACGGCAAACTTGCCGGGGGACGGAAGGATAAATTTGTTACATGGAGAGCGGGCTGTCGGCTGTGTAAAGTTCTCTCCTTTTTCCCCGCAAATAAACGCAGAATTTCGAGGTAGAGAAAGGACGACAGTTTGTATCTTAAAATACGAATGGAATATGCCACACAACTATCGTAAAAGAAATCGAAACTGAAGCGAAGGTACAAGTATTTTTAAGTATTTTTGCTGGCCTGTTGTAATGCGCGCCAAACAAGTTGCGAGAAAGCTGTCTGTCTCAAGCGAAGAATTAAAAAGCGTCATAACCAATTATATTTGAAATATCTACTGTTAGAGCGGTTTATTGTCATAATAAAACCCCTTTCAGTGCATCAAGACCTTGAAAGTATCCAAAGCTTTTTAAACGCTTTCATAGTATTGTGTATTGTCTTATGGACTTTGTCGCAAATTTGATCGTCAACAAACCATTAATTGATGACCTGCAGAATCACCAAAGAGACCACCAAACACAGACAAAAGAGTGGCATTATCTCAAAATCCCGTTCATCTCAGACCGGCTAAACCGAAAAATCACTATATGAATGTGCAGCCAGCTAATTTGCGTAAGTAATTAAAGGCAAGGTTTCACGCCTCTCGGTGGCATGAGGTGTTCCCTAAACACTCCAGGACACCCGATAATCGCTACAAAAAGTTAACAAAGCTCTCCTCGACTGAAATGGAAAAAAACTGCAACTTCCGATTATTACATTTCTAATAATTTTCCAGATACAACACTACTTTGTTGTCCAAATAAGGGTAGCCTACGTGTAGCCGAGCTACTCTTTACTCAGTCGAACGAATCGCTACAAGAAACAACTAGCTTTAATTTAATAGCTTCGTAGCACCACTCGTAAAGAGACCGAAAGTTGAAGGCGGGCAATCCTCTTGGTCCAAATACATCAAGGTAGTGCACCTGGTCCTCTGTGAGAGCCTTAACGGGCTGCACAATAAATATAGTGATCGGTTTCTTCTCTAGAAGAGAGGCGATCGATCACTGGCGCCGCTTGATATATTAAAGATTTTCCATAGCCAGTTGGTAACAAAACGGAGACATCGTTACCTTCGAAAAACATATCAACGGCTTTCTGCTGTTCTTCTTGAAATGTCTCTATGCCAAAACTCGCGCAAACTTGCCTTAAAAGCCTCGTCGTAGATCGCTGTTATCTGGAAAGTTCTACCATGAAAGAATTTTTTCCACCATCTTGTTCTTTGGTATGAAAATAAATAACGGACTCTAGTCAATCAGGATTGACGAAAGAATCGTCAAAAGGGGTTCCCTCGCTTCCGTTTAAACTTGAGCGGGGGGAGTAGGGTACGGGGTACGGCTACACTTAGGCTATGAAGGTCGGAGCAACTCGAGAAGCAACCGTCAGTCTCAATTGAACAATTTGTTTTGATAATCTGATAGTTCTACTCAGGTTCTTGTGTTTAGGTCTCATAGGATAGTTCAAAGGTTCTGTGGGCCTTATCATGAGAGTAGCATCATCAAAGATGAATCACTGGAAACTGAGTAGAAAACTTTGGAAAACTGAGTAGAAGTGATGGAATAGTTGAAAGAGTTTTATGCAGAAAGTGACTTAAGTTTCTTTACCGTAGGGAGATGTCGTGATTTCACTTGATTGTCCAAACACTTAAATTTTTCATCTGAAGTGTTCAGCCAGATCACCTATTTCTAGTAGAATCCTTCTTAGAAAGATTGAGACGTTGTTCATTTTTCCGGCCTCGTCGGTCGGTTCTGAATATGCTATTTAAAAAGCGAACCAGTCTTGGAAACTTAGGAATTAGACAGAAACTCGAGATCGAATAAGTAATGAAAACCAGGCCGAGAGGCGGGAAATATTCTTATCAGATATCATAGACGTTGCGTGTTACTTAATCCGTTACGTTTTCTTTTTTTATCTCATTACATTTCCCACCGCTGACTAAGGTGCAATGCGAATGGCTCCTGATAAACACGTGAAGACTATGCTGCTGCCTTTTCCCTTTAAATTTGCAGCATCAAAATTAGCAAATTAAAACTTGATCTTCTAGGAATTTGACCTTTTTCCCTTCCTTTTTAATTCTTTGCTTAACTTGGTTCGTTGTAATTGTATTTAAACCATTTGATTTGTTTTAAATTGGATTGAGCAAAGCGATGAAGAAATCTTCGGTACTTTATATTAGTTATCTTGTGATTTACTGCGTTACAGGTAAGCGAAACAGTTCTTCGTGTAGGAGTTGATGAGGTTTTGAACATGATTTAATTTCGGACAATTGACAGTCCTACTTTGGTGTCCAAAACGATCGTCGGTCAGAATCCTGAAGAACAGAAGAAGAATGTTATATTGCAGTGTTTTCAAGCAACGTTTTATCAATAAGCAGTTAAAAAATCTCACACAAATTGCTGGAACGACATTTAAGATTGTTGATGTCTTTTTATGAACGAAATGTGACAATAAATGCGCACTTCGGAGCATCAGTGTATATCACTCTTCAGAGGAATTACGAAGCCGAAATCGACTGTTAAGAAGTGAAACTGATAGACTAATATGCGAGAAAATATGTTCACACAGGACAGTTGAAGGCATAGCGTGCCTTTCCAGACAATATTCAAACTATTTTAATATGGGATGAATTATTTATATTTCTGTGCCATATACTCTATTTAAACTTTGCAGTTGCTACTAAGCAGTGTGTGGCAAACTGATGACTCCATTCTTCAAGATTTCAAGACAATTGTTTTGAACTATACTAAAATTGTTCTAAGTGTTGTTTAGGCCTGTTAGATTATCTTGAAATCCTTGTGCGAGTCTTGTGAGCCTTGGTTTGTCATGTGCTGCAAGACCACACATTTATTTTTTACCCTTTGAGAGCAGTGTCCTCGACCGTTATAATACAGCTTAAGACTGGTACGATAATCGTCATCGCTAGTCGTGTTTGCGTTTGTCCTTTACTTTGCTTTGAGTCCTCAGGGGGGAATATAGAAAATTGACTGCTAATGAGGGGGGATAGTTAAAATACAATAGAGTCTTTAGGGGGGG